TTCCAAAACCCTTTCATCACTACCCACCTTATAATATCTCGATTCAGTAACTCAGTGTTAATTAAGGGGCACGCTGCAAAGGTAGACGATGAGTCATGCTATTCTAAGAAATGAAAATATGAGTAATCTATTTCTTAAAGACTGTTATGTGCTTAGCGTATTCCCTTTCCCTTTGTCTTAAATATAAAAACAACATTAACTACAAAAAATTGAATTAAGCACGCAGAACAAATCAGAAGCACCAAAAAGGGAAAAAATAATCATGTCAAATGCAAAAACTAGTTTAGAGGAGCACTACCCCAGCCTTCTCAGTGATGCACCTCTTCACCTTCTCAAATATTTAAAGCTCATTTCAGGGACAATTGTGTCTCTGTCCATCTGGCTGCAGTCCTGCCCTAACACGCCCCAATCTGCAGCAGATCAACCGGAAAAAAAAAATCATTTGGATCTTAGCAGCATTTTCCACTCGGTTAGTAGCAATCAATGAGTTGATGTACAAACTAAAGGTCACGGGGGGTCGGAGAGGAAGGCCGGGCCAGCCTTTGACTCTGTATGAGGAACTGTTGATTTATTGGATATTGCAAGCAAGCTGATCCACCTTCAAGTGCCTTTTGAAGATAAATCAGCTGGACATCAAGACAAAATTTCTCACGTTGATGAATTATTCCTTTACATTCTCTGACGGCCTTCAAAACCTTCCATCGTCCTTTGTTCCTGGTGGCTTGTCATTCAGAGGATGAGACATGTGATCAGCTCTTATGACCTTTCATAAATTAGATTTTTCTGTAATGAATTTGCAACATCTCTATTTAAACTTTGGTCTCTACACACCATAATGATCCACGACAAGCAGATACGCAGATTTTAGTTTCAGGTTTTAAATGTTAAAGTGAAAAAAGAAAAGCTTTTTTTTTTTTTTTTTACTTTACTTGCAGCCATGAAACTAATGTTAGAGCTACTGAATGCATCATTGGTATTTCAATTGGTTCCCTCTAGGGTTTACTTTCAATTTGCAGTTCTGTCTGCCACTGGGTACAAATTCTCCAGGGGAAAAGGATAACACTTTTTCCCCAGTAGGTACTGGTATTGTTCCCTAGCTGAAATGGTAGATGGGGGAGTAACTATGGAAACCCTACATGCTGCCAAAAGAAGAAAAAAAGTCCAGCATAAAGGGAAGGTGAAGCGAGGGTGTGACAGAAACAAAAAGCAAACAAAGAGTGGAAAGAAGAAAACAAATAAAGAGCTACACACCAGTGTATTCAGATCTGTTCCTATTTTATGATTACCATGTTAACACGTACTGAACATACCCAACCAGACAGTGAGTGATTTCAACCTGATGTTCAGATTTTCTTTTGAGATTTACTGAGATAAAAATTATCTCAAACATTTCATTTCCAAAATACTCCCAATAGAACCCAGTAAAACACCCTGATTCTTTGAAATGTTAACACGTGCTGTGTTCAGGCCAAAGATTTTATCTTTAGAAATTAACTAAATGCAGCTCCGCAGGTTTATCTTAAGCCTTTATTAATTTGTCTGAACACACTCGTAATTCCCAAAGGAAACGCAGCAAAAACCTTGCCAAACTGAGGACATCGCATTTATCTTGTTTTCTGAAATTAACACAGGGCCATTGAGCAAACAAGGTTCACTTGGTATAGAAGCAATAAGATGTTTTAAACTGTGGCCTTATTTCTTATGGTCTCTCTTGGGCTCTGCAGATAGCTGCAGGGTAGAGCGATGAAAGGCTACCGACAGGGAATACAAAGAACAAGGCCATGGAGTGGAGTGGACTTGGAGTACACATCCTGAAACAGAAGGAGATACTGGGTCACTGTAGATAAGATGGATGGGCTGAACAAGGACAGAAATACAAGAGACTGGGATGTGAGAAAAACTTTAAAGAAAAAAAATGGAGGAGAATAAAAGAATGGAATGTAAAACAGAAGGGAGGACGGGGGGATAAAGGGAGAGATGATTCAGTAATTGGGCCTCGTTTGCAAGCGTGTTTTACAGATTTATTTTACCTCAATCTGGGTCAAGGTTGCATGGGCAGTATTCTAACTCAAAACTATCCTACTTCAAAAGCACTTTCAATTTTTCTTCTCAACTTCTCATTCCTAAAATCTTTTGATCTCTTCTTGCTTCGTTTCTCTCTGACCTGCACATAGTGAATTAAACATAATCTAACTTTGACTGAGTGCTGTTTATCCCACAGATCATTCAGAGCCGTCACTCTGAGTTTAGGATTTCTGCAACTGACCTCTACCTCTCTCTCTCTGTATAATGTCTACATGGTCTAATTTCCTCAATAGACTGTTTTAATGATGTTTTAACAACAAAAGAAATGAAATAACTAACATTTTCAAAGCACAGACAAGTTTTTATCACCAGAGAGACATATTGATAACACTTGTCTGATATGTATCAGTGGATATGGAAGTTTGGATTTATAGTTTTATAGATCTTCTGGGTCTTTACATAACTCAGGATGGGATTAAAAGCTACCATAAACCCCATTGTCTGTTGGATTACATTACGCTTGCCACTGATGGTTCTGCTGATCTTTTATGATATATCAATACAATAGCATAGGGATTCCCAGATGGTGCATATCTGCAACAGTAGGAAGGGGAGGAAACAGATATATTGAAATGATCTTGAAATCTTTTATAAAAAGATTATAAAGAATAACTTGCATTCTTGTACTCAGTTTATTTTAAGGATTCACAACCTCACAGATGGCTGCAATGATCAGTGTCTCTAGCTGATCCCACTGGAGGAGTTGAACAAATACCACTCTAATTCACATTACAGTAAACAAATACTGTAGTCACACTAGGGAAAACAGTAGTTGCCAGAACCAGAACCACTTGCAGTCAGTTTCTGTCTTCAAGTCCCTTCAAGTGGAGTCCCTTACTGGAAAGAGAAGTGTTGCAGTCAGGTTGCCCTCATCATCTGAGAATAACTGCAGTCAGCCCAAGTCAGACTTGTTACAATACAAAAAAACAAGGACATACACCTATCAGCCGAAACCATGATAAATGTCAACTTGCGTCTGTGTGTCAGTGAAACAACACAACTGGCTGATAGGTTTTTCAGTTCAGATGGTGGTTGGATATTTGGGGCCAGAGTTCAGTCCACTACCATCGCTGTGCTTACCGAAGTTGCTGTAACCCAAAGATTTTCTGTTCAGGGTTCACTGAGTACCATGGCCCTGTCCCTATATCTCTTGTACAATCATGGAATACAAAGAAACCTAACACCTTTTACAAAGTCTGGCCCTGTAAGGTGTTCTTCCTTCGGCTCATTCTTCTGTTAAGGTAAGAACCAAGGTGTCTGTTAGCAAGTATACAAAAACTAAAAGACAAAGTTTATGAAATCTGGTGGCGAGGAATTGGATAGGGAAAGGAAGACCCATCGAATTTTCTAGCAAATCTGGATCATTTGAAAAATAACTTGATTAAAATTGTTCTTCTCAAAAAAGAATCCATTAGTGTTGCAAAGAAACCAACTTCCCAACATCTTTATAATGCTAATCTGTCAATTTCATAGACAAGAAAAGAAATAGCTTAAAAATAGCAGTTTAATAGCCTACATTCTCTGTTGCTCTGTATATTTGTTACTGTAATTTGTTTCCAGAGTTATTTGAGTATGTGTGTGTGCGTGCGTGCGTGCGTGCGCGTGCGTGCGTGCGTGTGTGTGTGTAGGAATATGGGGTTGTGCTTGTGTGGTTCTAAGCTATCATAACTCAGTCATGCAGGTAAAGTCATCATCAACAGCAATCTGCTCAGGCCTCTGGGGATCACGTATGTGTGCAGAGCCACATACATGTGCACAGACATGAACACACGCACTCACTCACTTACTCACTCACTCTCCCTGGGGTATTTCTCACTTCAGGGAAGAGGACAAGGCGGGCAGAGTCCATTCACCCATACAGACAGAGAGAAAATTAATTTGTTACAGCGCGCTTATCGTCATGACAACCTGCCTTTTAATTAACGGGCTGACAAACAGCCTGGATGTCATGTCTCTCTTTGGGGAACGACTGATAGAAAGAAAATAGTGCTCTCCTCATCATGTGTGACTGACAGAAGGACTGTAGCAAAAAATAGTTGCAGACCTCTAATTGTTTTTATACAGAGATACTCATATTTTCATATTAAAGACCCCAAAATGTTATGTGCTTATTGGTTGGAATTTATTTTAATTGCTTTAAAGTTCTAATTTTGGCATTGTGCACATTTTATTTTATATATATAAATAAAACTGTGTTCTTAGCACATTTTTTTTCTTGGACTCTGCTTGAGTAGCTTTGCATGACTGAGAGTCCAAAATAATCCCTACTTATTTTAACCCTCTAATCGCTCGGTTCATCCATCATCTGAAATGCAGCATTTTAGCTCCTCACCTTAAACAAAGGTTTGAACAGCAGGTTCAACCCACAGGTGAGTCACCTGTGATTTTTATATGACCTTATTAATAAAGTCAAATTAAAGCAATTTTTTAAAGCAAACCAGTAATGACTGTTACTTGGAAATTAGATGAGTGAAAAAAAATCGGTTTTTAGATTCTTAAAATCAGTTTATATCTCTGCAAATGGAAAAAATGTTAAAATAGAAGTATGAGGGGGTTTTTTTTATATGGAGGAGGTTTTGGTGGAGCACAAAGAGGGTTTCAGCCAGAGGAAAGGAAACATCACCAGCACTGCCATGTAACTAGCCTGTAACCCCAACCTCTTTGGGTTTGTCTTTTCCAATGCAGTTTAGTTTCAAGGATGAAGCCCTGGATGCAAAAAAATCAAACAGTTTCTGTCTGACAAGTTTGCTCTGTCATGTAAGACTAAAGCATTTCAGCTCAGTGTGTGCGAGTGGAACAGAGAGGGGTAGACCATGGCGCCCCTTAAAGCATCAGGCCATCAAAACAGACCTGCTGCCTGAAAGTGGACTGCTGGGAGACAAAGAGCAAGTGTGTGTGTTGTCTGTTTGTTTTACCTCTTGAGGTTAAGCAGAGCCCAGGGGATGCCGGTGGGCGTTTTGAATGCAGGCAGCAGCTTCTCGCCCAACTCCACTGCCTTTCTGCGAAACACCTGAGAAAGAAACAGAACAAAAACAAGCAACTCATTACAAGATGGTTCGAGCAGCTGATGTATGCCTCTACATTTCCTTGAATTTTCAGCAGAAAATATAATTCAACATTTGCGAATCTCCATCTCTGCTCAAAATCCAAGGCTTACACCTGTAGCTCAGTGCTTCCCCCATCCTTCCACTCTTTATCCCTTTATTCCAGGCTTTTCCTCTTTCCTGTCTGCTTCCTTTTATCCCAGTAATGTTTTTGCCAGTATCTTTCCTTGCCTGCTTTACTGTTGCTTGGAGCTATACTGATGTTTTCCATGTGTAATGTGAGGAAACGTTAGCCCATTTAGTTGTTTAAAACGTCGCTGACTCAACATAGATATCTTAAAAACAGTTTCTCACTACAAAAAAACTGATTTATGGCTCTCCAGCTTACGTCTAATTCACCATTTTGCCATTATATAGCCAGCAATGTTTCGTTTCCCCTCTATTTAATGTGTTCCTGCTGCTTTCACCAAACTGATTGCCCAAAGAAAGTAAGATTTGCAACTCTATCACAATCTGTGAGGCTAAAAGGAGAAAACCGCTTAACTTTAGCTTAAACGTGAAAGCAAAACACATCTTAAAAAAACAAAACAAAAAAACAACCAAAAAACCAGCAGTGAGTCAGCCTTCCATCCAGAGAAAGCCAGACTCGCGGATCTTTGATCTCCTCTCATCCCTTTGGTATCTTTCAGGGTGAGACATCACAGCCTGTGCTGGTAAACACAAGCCTGTGGTGTGTATTTAAGTGTACTAACATCAATTTACACAGTTACGGACTGCTAGAGTTGAATTTTCAATGCATGTAACCTTCAGATCCATTTGGACCCACCACAGAGGCCCAGTGTGGCTTTAAATAGTGTCATGAATATTCAACCTGAAAACAAGAGCAAATACACCTGGAGCTCAGACCTGCAGGAAACTGGGAAATGATGCCCTATAAAAGTGGATTTGTGCACTTTTAACTCTTTCAATTTCCACAGGAATGAATAATGCTCATTCTTCTTAGATTAATATGGTAATATCTGGTGTTTTTCCTGGATGTCTACCACTCCTTGGTTGTTTGCAGTACTGTGTAACAGCCTAAAAGCGTGACGTAAGACTTGATTTGTTTTTTAACCTGTATAAAACTTGTGCTAATCACGTTCTTGGTTCCACTTTTTTTCCCTTTTTTTAAAGCACAGTTCAGGTGTTTTCTGCTGCAAGCAACACAACAGCAAATTTACTCCTTGACTGGTGATCTCTTATCAAGTGCATTTAAATTCCCAGTCTAATCTTTTGTGTTAGCAAATCTGACAAGACAGCTTTGTAGCAGTTCCAGCCGAGGGCTTTGGTTGTCTCCAAGGTGTCTGATTTTGTTGGCTGTAAAAGTGAAGTGTACTTCCATATTTGGCTTCTGGTGTGAGTGTACTAAAGCAGTAAAGACGAAATGGGATTTGGCCTAAGACGTAGTGGACAGTTTGACACTGCTGCCAGGGTTTCAGCGGCTTGACTCAAACTGGTGCTGCTGCCCACTGACACGAATGAGAATGGCTTCATGTCTGTTAATGCAGCCCACATGGATTTGGACTTTTTTCTTATAACTTGACTCTAGGTGTAGAATTAAGTGGCACCTGTCCCACAGATTCAAGTCAATCAGATCCTGCCACACCTCTCATGAACAGCACCTCTGAATCCTCTTGTTTTTGTGCTGTTAGGAGAGTTTTTATTGAGACCACAAAATGTTAAAAATCAGAAAGCTTCCAAGGGTTATTGCTAAAAAATATATATATATCTTTTGAACATTCATGACCAGTGCAAGACAGAAAATGTGAAATCTGGGATAGATCATCGGAATTTCATAGGACTTGACTTGCTTGGTTTCCCCACAGTAACTTGGGATTTGAAGGTTAAGACTTTAGACTTGTTTGTGACTCGCACATGTGAGACTTATTCCCACTTCTGGGAGCTGCCTTAGTTCATAAGGGGAGAAAAAAACAACAACACCAGAGATGTTTCTTGTTGAAATGTGTGACTGAACTGCATAGCGCTATTTCTTTCAACCAGAGGCTGCTATGTAGCTCGCAGTCTTGCAACAAGGTAGAAAATATATGTAAAGTTTTGCCATTCAAAGCCAGTTCAAGCTTATTTGAATTTAATAGCACATGCAGATTTTCATGTTCACAGTATTAAGATGGAGTTGCTGTCTCCATCTTGATGTTTTTGAAACCAGATGTCACCAGCAGTGTACAGTTAGCCACAAATACCTAAAGGAGATTAATTCGCCAGCTTTCCTCCAATATTTTGTGACTGACGCTGTGAAATAATTGGCTGATGATGATGATCACCCCAAATTGGTATTTAATCACCACGAATAAAGGACCGACTAACTATCCAACTACTGCTAATGAGCTCTGTTGTTATTATTCATGCATTATTCTACTATATGTGGAAATGTGTCTTTTTACACACACATTGAGTCAGAGACAGTGCAGTATCACACTGCGTCATGAGCTGGCAGCTCTGGACTCGAGGGATCAGCCACTCAGCGGGGTCTGAGAGACGGGGGCAGGAGGGAGAAAAAGATTTGCGAAGAAAAAAAGCTCAAGAGGCCACTCGTCAAAACAATGTGGCAACTCTATGACTTTCTCCTCAAAATTCAGAGGCAGGAAAGGTTACTGAGAGTTAAAGTAGCGAGAGAGGTAACAGAAATGTGGCCAAAATTAACTGCTGGCATTCTGGGAATAAATGTCAGATATCCTCGTGTGAGATGGAGCAACGTGTCGATGTGTTTGACACCGTCAAGATGAGCCATGTTTCTCCTATTACATTTTTGTCCGCCTGACATGCAGACAGAGACTGATGATAGGCTACACCTGAGTATTTCCAATATATCAGACTTTATGAGGTCTACCAAATATTGACACACATTTCTTTATATTTCATATATTTTTAATTTGACTAAATTGAAGGAACTGAGTCTTTAGCCAGAGCTAAAAGAAATGTAACATGTTTTGCTAAGTGAAGATTAAATTAATTCTTTTTATTTATACATTACCAGAAAAAACACAAAAGTTAATAGATTTTTTAAATATAAAGTAACAGAGATTCATAAAAAGATGAAAAAAGTGATGAGAAAAGCCAGGAGATATTTCTTACCAGACTGAACAAACATGTTTACTCTTTATTACACGTGCACACCTAAATCTGAGTTATTACCTAACAGTGCATGCTAAATTCAGTAGACTTTGAGTCTCGAGTTTCGAATGGGTTAGTTTCAAATCACCAGTGTTTTACATTCCTACAGTGGAGGAAATGCAGAGTAGTAGCTCGGTAAAAATACAGAGGACAAAATGCTTGTATGAGATGAGGAAAACTGGCTTTTTAACACTTCAAGAACCTCTTGAGGCGTATCAACTTGAAAATCTACAGTTACCAACTCAATATCATAACAAAACGTATAATAGATGTAACGTGTAATCTGCAAAACATGAAATGGACACGCATGCAGAGGTTGCATTACCAGCAGGGGGAGATAAAATACTTAAAGCCACAAAGTTGGCAATGAGCAAAAAACATACAGAGTACATTCGTTCCAGGTTACTTAATGCATAGAAACCATTAAGCTAGGCGGCGAATGTGTATTTAAGTGTAAATGTGTTAATATCTGTTTAAACACTTTCCTGAAATTATTTCATGCTGGCTTAAAATGAAATATCTAAAATATCTCCCTCTACTGGAAGAAAAAAATATGGATAATTTTAATTCCTTTTTTGCTCCTGTGACTTCTTCTCACGGATCGGAAAATCAGTTAAGAAAGTGGATGGATGGAGTTTGGATGGTGGAGGACTTAAAAATGATTTCAAGAACATGCACCTTGCCGAGAGGGATATTAACAAGAATTTGAGAAACAGCAAAGCAGCCAGATCTGAAAGTCGATGTTTTCTGTTAAAAAATTCCCTTAAAGATTACGGATTCTTGTGCAGGATTCACGGCATGAGCAAAAAATAATTTAACAGATGAAAACATTGATATATCCGCTCATACGGGTTCCTTCTGTATTCCAAGGAGACTTTCACAATGCAGTACTTTCAAGCCAAGATGTTTGATGGCACTGTGGACACCGAAATGCGTGTGTGTTTAGCTGCGCAGTGGGAGCAGAGCCGTGTCGTAACAAGGCATCAGATCGCAGTGATTAATGCCTTTAATAATGCTAGAAGCACACTGAGGGGAAGAATAAAAACACTCCCAGGGATGCGCCCATGAATGAATTAAACACACTCCGCGTCCAAGGCCATCAAGCAAGCTGCCAACAAGCTTTTTAATAAGTACTACAGAAAGCGAAAAGCACACGCAAAACCTGTGGCTGATGTCAGTAGTAAAAGCTGATGTTGATAATCACATTTCACACCTTGATGCTTCTGACAGCAAAGGCTTCAGGAAAACACACCAGTGTGTTTGTTTGCATATGTTAACCCTAGCAAATGGATGAAACACATATCAGCATCCAATAACTCATGATGCATCTGCTTTAGAGACGTGAAAATAGATCAATCTGCACACCAAACAGCTCAAGTACCAGGATTTTTCTGTGTGCCCTTTACGGCGAGACAACCTGGTCATCTGAACAAGCACATAGCTGTGTTAAATACAGAATATTATGCTGTATAACTATATCAAACAGTTAAAAAAAGAGTATTCATCTTTTCATATTTAATAAACAGTCAGTCATTACGATAGGTTTTCAAGTATTATTTTCGCATTTGAAAATGGCTCCTGTCATGGCCACTCGAGGCCTGCTCGAAAAGCGAGTCAATCTCCATTAAACACAATGTTAAAAGGTCCAATTTTTTAATAACTCATCTGTTTAATTTGTATTAAGGTTTAAAGTGTGCATTAAGGGAGTTGCTACTTCAACTGAAAAGCAGCTTATACCTGCTAGCTGTCTGCTAGGCTTCATCTCTGAATGGGGTTTAAAGAGGTCAACGCTCCA